ACTGTACAAAGATTATTGAAAATCCAGTCGTGCAAACCGAACAAGTTGAAAGTTTAGTAAATGATGCAAAAGATAAAGATTTTTACTGCAGCTTTCAATCAAATACTTTGCCTACCAAATCGGATGATTTTTCAACACCGCCTATCTCTAGCTCTCCTACGCAAAAGCGACGAGTACCACCCGAGTCGATCTGTCCCAAATGTGGCAAGATATTTTTAGGACGCCGCCTGCAACGTCATTTCACACAATATCCAGATCATATGCTTGCAAAAAGAACTGAAGACGCAACAGTACAAGAGCCAAAGCGGCAAACTGATATTGCAAGTCCCACCGAAGATATGACACTATTCAGATTTCTAATATCAAAGCTGCAAAAACCACTACTCAACGAGGATCAGCGTGCCGATCTCTTTCTAAATGAACTAAACGATCTGATTGAGCAATTGCAGTTACGTAGCACAAGGCTAATACGCAACACTTCGGGATTGCATTTTGTTAGTGCGCGAACAGCGCGTGTGCTAGGTATACCAGAGGGCCAATATGCGCTCGATATGAGCGCTATAGANCTATAATGAAATGAAAATAATGCAGCTATGAGAAGAATTTCTTGCAGAATTTTTGTTTATTTTTCGTACAGAAATTGTTTAAGAGTTCCTATCAACTACTTCGTATAATTTTCTGTGAAAAAAACCTTACAGAAAAGAGATACTCCTAAATATTTCGTTAAGATTTAGGAAACTTTGGTTTGCAGAGAAATTGCATAAAACCTGAAAAATGTTGAAAGAAAAATAAATTTAACTACAAACAACTGAAGCTTAACTCACCTTTCTCTTAGTTTAAGAACACCTTTGTGCAATACTTAAGCTCAAATATATATTCCTCATCGTTTTATGTTGGGTGCATGACCAAACGGCAAGTCTGCACCCGTACAGTACTGTGCCGGACCTTGGACATGTAGTGTCTGCCGCCGAAACATCCACCACCCGTCCACCGCAGACCGTTACAACAACTGCAATAACTGGTGTCATCTGAAAGCATGCTCGGGTTCCCGGCACCACAGGGAGTGGAATGCTTAATTTGTTGCATCGTGCAGCAAAACCCACAGCTAACCCAACACTCCAAACAAACAGCACACGCCAACCACCAACCAATGGAACAGCACGCAACTCAGGGTATCCATTCAACGCAGATGGATCTGCAGCGTTTACGACAACCTGTTAAGGCGTAATACCACATAGTCGGAGAAATCACGAAAAAGCTGACTATATATATTAAAAATTTGGAACACAAGCTTCTTTAGTGAATATTAGTATAAGGTGTTAATATAAACAAAATCCGCCCACAAATNATAACACTTTGAAAAAGACCAATAAAAGTATGAAAGTAAAGGTGAGTACGTACATAGATAAAGAAAATGATAAAGGCTAAGGTAAAAATAAAAACAAAGATGCGTAAAGATGAAGCCAGAAATGAATACCAAGGTAAATTTAGACGAAGATAGAGGAAGAAAAGCTAAAATAAAGGTAATTATAGAGAAAACGATGTATGTAGATAGAGACACAGAGACTCAATGTGGGAACTACTTTGGGATTTTAAAGATTTTCGGGATTCTAGGGATTTATCGATATAATAATCGATATTTTTATCAGCTCTATTATCGATATTGTTATCGATTATTTACCGATTTTGTTCCAAATTTCGTTATCGATTATTTGTCGATTTAGTTACCGATATTTTTATCAATTTTGTTATCGATGTTTTTATCGATTTTTGTTAACGATTTTGCTACCGATTATTTGTCGATTTTGTTGTAAATTTTGTTATCGATTATTTATCGGTTTTACTATCGATATATTTATCGATTTTGTCATCGATATTTTTATCGATTATTGATTTTGTTATCGATGTTTTTATAGATTTTGTTAGCGATATTGTTATCGATTTTATAATCGATTTTGCTACCAATATACTCATCGATTTTGCTATAGAAATGTTTATTGAATTTGTCATCTATTTTGTTATCGATGGAGTATAAAGATAAAAATGAAGATAACATAAATGTAATTAGAACGAACAGGGGTAGAGGTCGGGCTCTAGATAGAAAAAAAAAACAAAAAAGATAACCTTCAGCAAAAGCAGATGTATATCTGTACATAAGTCGTCGTTTAACGTACAAAACCGCGTATCGTCATTCTGCAAAACCGCGTANATTTTGCTACCAATATACTCATCGATTTTGCTATAGAAATGTTTATTGAATTTGTCATCTATTTTGTTATCGATGGAGTATAAAGATAAAAATGAAGATAACATAAATGTAATTAGAACGAACAGGGGTAGAGGTCGGGCTCTAGATAGAAAAAAAAAACAAAAAAGATAACCTTCAGCAAAAGCAGATGTATATCTGTACATAAGTCGTCGTTTAACGTACAAAACCGCGTATCGTCATTCTGCAAAACCGCGTAACTGACAATTGCTGCCAAAAATTGCGTAGAAAACTTGGAGTAAAGGCGCTTAGCACTAAAACCATGGAAATATTGAACGATCATAACTAATAATGTATGTGCATTAAATTTTTCAAATGCTTTAATGAATTAGTGTACTTAAAGAAATAAAATACTAGCGAATACCTGAGAAAGGATCTGATATGTTTTAGTTTACACTTTTTTCTGTCAGCTTGCTAAGGATTCCGATAATTTATGGACGTGTGTTATTGTACAACAATGATGGATTCAATGCGTCGGTAATGTGTAAATATTTCGAAATAAAAATTGACACACACACGCATGCAGGTGAAGGTGTTGCAACACATTACCGTAATTGACAATATTTTGCTATCAGACATTTGCAAATGTTAAATGTAAGAACTATCCCAGCCAGCATTTGCAAACGTAAACGATTCGGAATCGAGTCTTCTTGGCGCCAAACTAATCGCAGAAGGCTACGTGTTTAGAGTCGCAGCGGGGAACGAAAAAAAGTAACCTACGGTTTCCATATTAATTTGTGATTTAAATTTATTAAAAGTTGACATAACACCTTGCGACAATTTCAAGGTCTGTCTGCGGGAGGAATAATTCCAACTCGGCATGAAAGACCTAGATCATTTAATAAAACCTCCAAATCTTTTTTCATTCTCATGATATTTTCTTTTTATGGCCATGCTAAGTTTGCAATTTTTTGTCTGAGTGCTTTTAGAATAAATAAGTAGAAGAAAGAGTTAAAATTCATATCGGAGCGTTATATGTATGTCTGTAGCTTTGGTGCATATCGACTGCTGAGTGGAAGATCGACCTATCTCGGCAGCCAGTTCGAAAACGCCCTATCTCAACATATTTTCCATTTACTCTCAGTTCAGATAGGGCGTTTTAGAACTAATTTCTGAAATAAGACGTTCTTGAAAAGCTTTCTGAGATAGGGCGTTTTAGAACTGGCTGTCGATCTTCAACTCAGTGGTCGATATAGTGTTATTTCAAGAGGAATAATTTTGTAGCTAATTTAAACCCATTAGGTCTCTAACGAAAGGGTCGTTTTAGCAGTTTTTTTTTTGGAAATTCCTAACAAACTGCATTTAAGAGGTTACCACAGGGTTAAACTTCTTTATGCAAAATACGTAAAAGTCCACAGAAAAAAGAGCAATATGCTAACTTTTTTTTGCTTTCTCTTATATTTTGTTCAAAACTATAACTCCATCTCTGTTCGATGATGATGGTTCCGGGCTTCGGTCATCAGAAGCTATCATCAGGACCTGAGTCATACATGATGTCTACATGCGGCTCCACTGTTACCCTTACCTACTGCTGCTTTTCTTCATTATCAGGATCTTCGAACACATGCTTATAGCATAGACAAACGGCAACATAAATCCGCATTAACGGCGGAAATGATGTGAAGCTGGGAGGTCGTGAGTTCTACCCCAAAGCCACGAGTTTTTTTGGTTGGTATTTTTAGATTCATCAAATATTATTTTTATTTTTTTATATGTAATTATAGTTAATGTGCTATGATTATCGCAATCACTGATGCAGCAAGCCGGAACCACCACCATCGAAAAGAACTAAAATTATATTGTTGAACAAAATATGAGAGAAAGCATAAACAAGTTGGTTCAAATTGCAAGGGGACATAGTTGTCTTTTATATTTTGTGGACTCTTTACGTTATTTATAAAAGCATTTGTATGAGAATACCCATAGTGAAATTTTTCGGCAAATAATTTTCTATTATATTTTAACCCTCTGGCGATCTCCAATATATATCATTTTATTCAGACTTTCCAAACAACGCCACACATTATTCCTCGTGCCATTCAAATATATGTACCTCAATAAAAAAAAAATTGGCAAAAAATTGCAAACTTAATTTGGTCAAAAAAATGTGTCCTTAGAATGCAAAAATACATGATCTTTCCTCCTAAGTTGGAATCATTCCGCCCCAAAATGCTGTTGCACTGCGTAATCAGTATACATTTTATGTGTTTTTACTTACATAAGTGTAAGTGAATTTCCAAAAGATCATAATTTGACGTCATAGAAATAAACCGGTAAACAAATTTTTTGATGTTGATTTTCGTAGCGAAACTTATAATTTTTTTAAATTGATCAATCTATGTATAGCTTCTGAACGCTAATCGGGTTGGAAAATGTTGACGACGTCGATAATAGTATTTTAGTAATAAAAAAATTCAAGATTGATCAATACATGTTGTTTTCAGAACTCAAACACAAAAACAAAAAAAAAAATTTAATTTAAATATACATACTTATGTCTGCATCTCAAAATCCCTTCATATTCGGATAAAGCGGAACATTTTTCCCCAGAAATGATGGTCAAATGCAACAGGTCGGGATTTTTTTTTTTTATTTCTGTGAACTTGTGTTATCCTCAAACAATCATCTAAGCATGCGATTCGCGAACGACTCGAGTATCTCATAAATTACCAAATGATCCTCCAAATGCTGGCTGGGGTTTTGTATTTTAATACAATGTATGTATGTATGCAGGAATGAGTTTTCATACATACGTACACATATCCACACGTAGTACATATTACATCCATTTACCTTAGCATCATTGAGTAGAATTAAAAGCTTTTTTATCCAGTTACAATAGTTAGTTAACGTTTAGTCAGCCACAATGGAGGGCTGTTTGCGGTATTGTGTTCGAAGCGCAAGTCCCCAAAAATGGGCTATCAAATCTACAGAAAAAGTAAAAAGTACACAATGCAAATGTAATACTTTGCGTCGCGTTTTGGCAAAAAATACAGATGAGTTTTGTAAAAATACAACATTACATGGGCTGAAATATGTGAACAACCGTTTGTTACACCCCGTTGAGCGGTATGTAAGAGTTTGAAATTTTAAATGTCTGATTATGGCAACTTAACTTAACGTAACTTAGAACTTAAAAAATCAAAACGAAACAGGCCGCGACGTGACATTAAGTTACGCTAAGTTTCGCCTGTCCAAATATAAGCAACATTCATTAAAGAGAGAATTTTTGAGTGACAGCCTCTAAGTTACGTTGAGTTGCCATAATCAGACCTTAAAAATTGTACTTTACTTTTCGTTTAATT